CTAGACCGGATTACTCAGGGGAACATTTGCCTATGTAGTTTTACTTCTTTTCGTTCGAATTAATATGCATGGTGTCCCCCCTGATTTTTTCAAAGGTCAAAAAGTGTAAATTTTGCCTATTTCAGTGGTTATGAAGATGTCAGATAACCAATTTTGTGCAAATTGCTTTAACTGCCAGCTATGTTATTCCCTTGCATTGTTAATGACGGATTGAGCATTCCACATGGCTTTTGTCTCCATACATGCTGAGGCTGAAGTCTATGATTCATTGAAATGCAGACAATGTTGATTCACGTTACGCTCTTCATAGTTCAAATACAGTTATTGCTATTCAAAGTCAGACAGATTCATTTGTCAACTCAAAGGTGTCGTCCGAACGGTTTATTAAATGTATTGTACGTTTTAATATGCAAATACAACGAACTGTGAATTACAAATTCGTCTTTCCAGTCATTTCCGTTATTTCTAGTCAAACTTTCATTCCTTCGCAGATTACTTTGCCCAAATGATTATTGTAATTCTTGTGAGTCAGAAGAGCTTAGTATTTATTTTTATTTAAATTAAATTGCAGTGTATAAATTGCATATTTTAAATATGGATCGTGTGTTATTTTATGGGTTGACTTTACATTTCTGGCATTTTTTATTATTATGATATGAAACCTTTGCTGAAGAGATTGCCTGATTCCCTACCTCAGGAACAGGGAAAGTGTCTACACATGTTAATAAAGGGAAATGCCATTAAACTTGTGCATCGCATCACAATTCATGATATTTACCAACTTGCCGTGAAGTCTGAAGGCTGCGAAGGTGGTGAAAGTGAAGTGAGGACATAAAACGAAGTCATAATTCAGGATTGGGAATATAAAAGTTCATCGATGTACAGATGAGATTGCTCTAATGCAGACGGATAGCTTGTATGCTTCCCTTCCGCCCCTCCCTTCGCAGAAAGATGGATATGAAGCCACTTTCGTTCTCTCCTTTCTCTCCTGGCTTCAAATGGAGACAGCGATAACCATCCCGTGGTTCTCCTGCTCCTATTTTTAAGAAACTCCACCAAGTAAATTGGGAAATCTACTTATACGTAATCTTCAGTCAATCGAATTAATCTGACAAAGAATGTTTGATTGTTGTTTGATTATTTTGTAATAGTAGTTAATCCTAAGTTAAAATATGCGATGTTCACCAAAATACTTTTATGGAATTATAATTATTTGTGAAAATCAAATCCAAATCCAATTGGTCGTTATCCCATTTTGCATTTTTGGTAATCTCAATTGTCCCAGCAATTCAAAGGTTTGCTGATTGAGTTTCAATTCCTCGTAGTTTGTCTTTCTGCGTTTGTTTTCTATTCTAATATTTAATTGTTCATTAAATTATAATGTGTCTACTCTTCTGCGTCTTAGACGGGATATTTTTATCCTGCAAGTAATTAGAGACAGATTTCAACACGTAGCTGACATAGCTAGAAAGCATATTATGATACCTACAAGGTCGATATAATCGACGCATTTATTTAATGCTTATTAAACCCAAATAGTGACAATTGAATCATTTACTTCACGAGACAGGTATAGACATACCAATATCGACAACATCAATTAATGAGTTACGTAATTCCGTTCGATATTACAGAATCAATCAATCAATTTGGTGACAGTCATGATGCACATAAGTAAATTTCTCCTGTGACAGAATTTTCGCATGAGTTTTATTACGTTATTACTCCATACAGAGTTATTAGCACATCCTTTTCCTTGTAAGGGAATAAATAAGGCTGCTAACCAGAACTTTATTCGTTTTCTTATGTAAGTTTGGTTGACTTGACTGAATGAGTGACATGGCAGTTCTCCACGCTTTCTCTCGCCACCACCAGCATCCAGTTCAATGGACAATAAGGTAGTGGGGCCAAGTATCAAAGGAAGTGTTTGTTGACCCATTGTGTAACTCGACGAGTAACAAAGATAAGCCAAGTCAAGTGAATAATAGGAAATACAAGCAATCTTCTGTCTTTTGATTAGGGATGAGGTTGCCAAAATACATGCTTTCTACCTTTTCCAACGTGCAAAAGGTTCCGTTTGATCCTAACAACCTGAACTCCTGTGCGGTTAGGTGCGCCCTATACCACGTAGTTCTTGGTATTGACTGCAGCAGTCAATACCAAGAACCAACCATTGTGTGTGCGTATGTATGGGATGGATCTCTTGAAACTTTCATTAGTGGAGTGTCTTGTGTGTAAGGACTAAATCATCCTTTCTCCCGATTACTTATTTATCTTATCAACTCATCACATTCTCCTTTTGTTTGGCAGAAGTAATAATTACTCGGTGTTATGGCATTGCTGTTGTAGTGTACTTCATTATTGTACAAAAATAATTTAATAATAGATTTTATGCAATTTCCGATTTCTGCTTTTCTAGAGCTTTATGTCCAGATTTATTTATTGACAAGGCTATTGACCTTTTCTTTTGATAGTTTGTGGGAGTTTCTTTACTATTTATCTGGGATGAGATGAGCAAGCTTTTTACAACATGCATACATATTTGGAGGATGGCTGCGTTGAAGATGAAAGGTTAACTTGTCCTACATATTTGGTGTGGAGAGGAGTGAAGCAAGAGCAGGAGACTTTGGTTAGTAAAGTTAAACTGAATTTAATTTTGTCAGCTCCTGCTGCATGTAATAAAGTGGAGAGAGAAGAGAGATTTTGATTATTCTCCTGGAGAAGACCTCGTTCTGGTCTAGTTGGTTGTTTGATGACCGTTTTCTGTCCTTCACTTTGTTTGTCACTACTCAAGAAATGATGGGAGGACAAGATGAAACGCTCCACACGGAGGAACGGGATTGTTCTACAGTCGGGCTGTCAGTTCTTCTTTTATCAATAGTTTACATAGTCTCGGAAAGTTGCCAACAAAAGCCATCTCATGTTCCACGACGACGAGGAATAATCAATAATCTTGGTTAGGTCTTGTTTGCGTAAAATATTTGTATTAAATCCTTAAGTTACACTTGGGATCAATTGGAGTGAAAAAATGGGGTCATTTCTTGTATGTAGGTGTCGTTAATGGATTAAATTATGAAACCTGGGATGAGTGAATTACATATCTCGCCATGAGAGCGGTGCACTCAGTGTTTTACTTTCCTGACTTCCGAGCTACGTAGATAACATGAACACATGAAATGAAAACAAAGTGATGAACAGTCGAGATTTTCAGTCTCTCTCGTGTCTTAGCATTGATTGCAGCTTTATTCAATTATAAACCGAAAATATTTTTGCCGAAATTCCACACCGACGTAGTTATTTGGTTGTAGTTTAATGTTAGACGTCAACGCCCGTTTCAACATTTCAATCATGAACTCCAAATATTGCGTCCTTACGTGTGAATCATTTCGAGGAAGGGTGATATAAGTATTTTGTGTTTATTTTGGGATAATTGAACGGAATAAATAGGTATATCACTGAATTTTGTTTTCATTTCACCACTCACTCACATGACCCGATAAATGCTTTCTTCATTCCATCACGACGACTGCTTCCCGGAAGAATGGCTGATACATAAGTACGGAAATTCTTCTTATAGGATTACATAGCACAGGCACGTATAGCCTTTGTACATCCCTTCTTCCTCCGAGCTTGAGTCCGTAAATGTGGAGGAGCTTGACTTGAAGCGCACTTTACTTCCCTCAACCTAAAACCTTCAAGTCCCTCTTGTTCTCGTTAGACAGGACAAATGGTAAAAGTGAACTGCACATTTACTCCGACTTACACTTGCTCCACTTCACTTACTCCTTGGCTGGCCGCGTACCAAAACTCGCCCAGTCATGTCCTAATATTAGGTGGTGTAGCATATCTGTCCAAAGTGCAATGTATTTCGTAGACGTTGTCTTATCTGGTGAAAGCAGAAGTCTCTCTTCAGAAACACTTTCGAGTGGAAACTGGAGATGAGTGTGTATCTTCTCAAAGATGGACGAGGGAAGGAAGGCCAGTGGTCTTCGTTAGCCTGCTGAATACATGGATTTGGCAAATGCACAGCTGGCATGAAATGAGCAATAAAAAATAATCAATTTTGAAGAGCATAAATATATACAAAGATTTAGATTACGATTTTTTTGTCCTAGTACATGTACAATTATTACATCCATAACATTGTCTTCACCTTAATTAATTCGTATTTGCTAAATGACATTTTTAAGCAGTAAAAAAGTCAACGTTGTCAATTTAGCAAAGTTGCAGAACGAGGTAAAAGTTTTGGAGAAAACGGTGGCCCGTGTAACAATGTGTGTATGTAGTGAAAGTGGGAAGCAGCACTTCATAACACAACCAACACCATTTCTCCAGTAACACACTTATGTACGTGCATACATATCAGTAGCACATAGGCTCGCACTAACTGACACGCCATAACTTAGGTGGTTAGCCGCGTTCAATACATGGTGTGCTTATGGCTTTCTTATCCAGTGTGGGTTAAGATGGCTATAAATATCGAAAGCAATATGGCAACGAGCTGGAGCTAAGAACATAAATGTGAGTAATGTTGAGTAAAAGCTAATCAGCCTTCGGTATCCCCATGTACACACGTCGTCCTCCCTCCACTCTTGTCTTTCTCCTCGCGTGGTTGGTGTGGACTTTGCCGAGTGGTAGTTATCGGATCGAGTTATGATTGTATCGCTTTCGTTATAAAGGACGTAAAGTTAACGGTACATTAGTTTAAGGGGTGCTTAAGCAGATCGTAAAACCAGTTGGAGAAAGGTATGCGTGTATTTATGAATGTACATTTGTAGCCCTGGCCTGGATCACTGAAATTTGCAGAGCTGAGTTCATTAATATCCTGCAGAGACATAGTCACAACCAACTTTCATTTCAGACATGGTCATAACACGTATGTATCTCCTCATCGTGTGCGATATTATTTTCTATGGCATTTTTTTGCGAACGAAAATGTGGGTCCTTTAAGTAATTTAAAAACTGAAATGCTAACTATATGAATTTTCCTTAATTTGCAGTGATAGGGCACGTCTCGGACGGATCCAATCCTCTGACCAAGAAAGACGCCGGGATCACGTCGATAGCCAAGAGTGATGTCTATTCTAAATCCGTCCCTCCAAATACGAGCACATCATCTTCAGCCACCACTCCCATCGAGCTGAGGGACTCACAGTTCACAAAGCTCGTCCCTTTCAACAACAATGGCAGCCATCTCTCAGCCAACAGCACCTTCAACGTGGACCCCGAAGTGGAAGAAGCTGCCAAAATCCTAGAATTGCAGAGACAGGTGGGTTCAATTACAAATCTCATTTTCAGTGGTAGTTCAATGTCTTTAAAAACATGCATTAAAATTATGAGAAACTGTTGTTCAGTTTCGCGTGAATCGTCAATTGTTAAAAGAACATCAAATCCGTAATCCTAAATAATTCCTTTTCGGAGTAAACCACAAAAAATTAAGGCCGACACGAAATGAAAATATTCTTAAATTTTCAGGGGCTTCCTTGGATTGACAAGGCTGCTTCGCCTAATGTGACTGCCCTTTTAGGGAAAACGGCTTATCTTAATTGCAGAGTTAAGAACCTGGCTGATAAGACTGTAAGTAAAAGATATTTTTCTAGGATTTATTCGGTTTATGACATAATATTTGACAACTTTTGAAGTACTATTAATGTCTACCCTATCTCAATCATCACAAAATCATCAAACTAAAAAAATTCTACAAAAGAAGCAGTTACTACCATGTAGTAGACATTCAGCATAATTATACTCTAACGAAGAGTAGAATGTCTCGTAATTAGACTGTAGAGTAAAAAGTAAAGTTTTTGTTAGTTAATAACTCATGTACGTAACGCAGTGCTGTAGGCAGTAGTGAAAGTTGTTATATAAACAGCCAATTTGGTCGGTTGGTCGGTTGGGTAGTGTAGTGGGGCTGATTTGTGACGAGAAGAATCGAAGAGTTTTCATCTTGTTTCACATCGTTGATTTTCCCAGAAGATATTTGTTGTTCCCATTTTTCCAAACACATAAACTTTATGTTTATCCAGCAAAGAGAAAGCAGAATTTGCAACAGATATTACAATCATGCTGCTCCAATATTTCATCACCCTTAATTTCTCATTTCTCTGTGGATGATACACAAGTATAACTATGATTTGCCTAATTAGTACCTGAAGAAATAATAATAACTCGAGTATAGCTAAACACACAAACGATAGAAACAAGTATTTGGAAAAATTGTGAAATTATGTAAAACCATTATATTTACAAATAAGGGCTAAGCCCACAGGAGAGTGGGACCCAAAAGTAAATTTTCTTATTAATGGGAACTTTGCATGCCACAATGCCATTGACATTTGAAATCAGTTGTTAAGTTGGATTGAGAGGTTTGTCGTGTATGTAATTGATATTTTTGAAATTGTTTTTGTCCACTTTTGCTCACCAAATTATCACTGCAGTGGCAACTATCAATGGTTACCAACTTTTGGGTCAACTATTTGCCATTCGCGTATGTACAATTACTTGAAAAGCACCAACACTATTATTAATTTTGAATCAGGGAGGAACTCATGTAAAACAAGTTTTAACTTTGAAGCTAATAAATAGTTGGGCAGGGATTGGTTAACCAAGCATGACTGCTGCTCACCCACATCATGTTGCAGCCTCTCCCGTAATGCTTTGATCTTCTCATCCGTCTACTTTACCTCTGCAATCAGGCACTGCTCAGTTCATCTTCTCCTTCCTGATTTTAATCTTACACAACCTAAACTTTTCTCTCGGTCAAAAATAAGGAGGTAAATTAATGTGTATTCCATAACCTGGATGTGTATGAAACTCAATCAATGTCAAAAGTCAAGGAAGAAAATCAATTTTGCTCATTCTCTCCTCATACTTGGTTCGTTTTGTTTGTTTGCCGAGTTTTTGTATCAGTTTGCTACATTTAATAAATTAGAAAGACATGCATCGACGAAGCCCAAGGAAGCTGGGCTTGCGGAGTTTTGCGAAGTGAAGAAGGAGAGCGAAATGGAGCATCTCTCTGGAGACCACTTTTGGATGGGTTGGTTAGATGGATGATGTTTATGATAATAATCCATTCTAATGTATTATGCAATACCTGAATCCCTTTATTGTGCTCATGTTTGTGTGTGCTATATTGTGTTACAGCACGATGAAACTAGAAGCACAGGCAAAGTTATTTATTTTTCCACAGGTTTCTACATATCTGTCAGCGTACAGGTATCCGTTCTTTAAATTGCAAATATTTGACTTTCTCCCAAAAACATATTACGTCAAGTTAAGACGCATGTATAATCTAAACATGAGTTATCCCCAAAATTATTCACTATACATATAGTCCATCACCTGTGTGCTGTGCAGTATAAAATAAAAAGTTGTCCACAACGACGACATTAAAATTATTACTCATTCGACGTGAATGTTTAAATGTTTGAATTGTCGTCTTATTAGAGTCAAAGTTGGTGAAGCGAGAGTCAAACTCATGTTTATGGAAATCAGAGGCAGGAGCAGTGGGGGTGGTGCCAGTTCGTTACGTATGCGTTGGCATGAGTTCTCAAAAATGCTGAGTGAGCCTTACGCCATCCGCGACTTCTTTGTCTCATCTCGCTATGTGCCTGCCTATGCAATAAGCTTCTGGTTGGGTGAACTGGTTGATCCCACCGCTGCCCATCTGACAAGACCTTAACCGACTGCGACTATGCAGCATTCAAGGCGAGTTACTGTCAACTGTCTCTCTGATTAAAATGAACTTTTACTTCTCGTACTGCAGGCCCAGATGCCACGTGCGTGTCACTTCTCTCTCTCTCAAGTGTCAACATCCTCGAGTTAATCAACATTTGCACGCAGAATTTATGTGCATCCTTCCATCTCGTTTCTGGAAATGCTTCATTTAAAATATAATTATATACTTTCAATGATCAGAGATATGATTTTTAAGTAACGATGATCTTCAATATATGTACTTAATCATAACTGAGAAGTAAACTTGTCCCTTTGAAACTCATTCCAATAATAGTTAGATATACTTGAAAAAGTTGCTTTCACTGCCTGTAAAATTAAATTAAAGAGTAGGCATACTGAGAAAAATTGGAAGTGTTATTTCTTAAAAAACAGTTCCTCGGCTGCCTCTATGAACTTAAGCCCACCACAGAAAATGTTAATTTGTTGTAACGAAGGCAGGGAAGGCAATGGGAAAGGGAGGGTGGAATTATGGGAGGTCTGACATTTTGAAAATAAACGTCTACAAAGTGTGCCAAGAAATCCCATTCTTTTCCTATGCAACCAGTTTATGGGTTTCCAAATGATGTAAAGTTCAATGTCTATCTTGTACGTGCATGGCTCCGCAATTCTTGATGATGAAGTTGATAAGAACGAGTCTTCAATGTCAATGAACAAATTCGTTTCAAGTTTGCCTTCTTTCATCCAAGTTGAGTGAAGACATTCATCGTTTGCTTTGCTCTGCTCCACTTTATTGGACGTGATACTTGATACTTTCTCCTTAATCGATCTCATTACAGTGAGTCAGCATTTGTTGGACTCAAAATCTTCCTCGAGTTCCCCTTCGACAGAAACTGGAGAGGAATTAGAGTTTCCAGCCCAACACGACTCAGGAACTACAATCCATTCCTGCACACATCCAGTGTATGACTACAAAGAAGAATTACAAAATTAAGCCTAATTTCGGATAAGTCTGAATCGACCACTCCCTTTCTCCAAGCTCATTTGGGATTGTGATTTCGCATCGCATTAATTTTGTCCTTTTAATTTGTCTTTTAATTTATCTTGGTCCTTGTCTCCTCGCTAACATGGAACATGGAAGCGACGTTCCGTTCAAAAAGCCAGATTCTTCCACCCATAATAGCTGGAGAAAGTTCCCTATTTGAGAAGACAGCTCAGTAATCTAGTCAGAGGTTGATACGCTAAGCTCAATGCAGAAAACTTATTAGCAACGTAACACGTGTTTAGATTTTGTCAAAAGATTCTTATTCCGGTCTATTTATTACATGTTCAGTTCCATTGGATTTTCAGACACGTCAACCAACATTAAGATTTTGCATGCACAAAATATTTATAAGCAGTAAGGTATCTATCTATCTACGTGCAGACTACTAAATATATAAATAAATAGTCATTGCCAAAGTCCACGTCGGTTGCAGTGGGCCAAGAAGAAAGGCTGATGCCGAATATAAAAAACACGTGTCAAAGTAATTTATCAGCCGTCTCACAGAACTAATTTCTTGGTAATGAGTCAGTCAAGCGTGGGGAAGGAAATTGCTCTTTATTTGCTGCACAGAGCTGGGACTCGCCTTCCTAAGATAAATTAGTAATTAGTACACGACTCATTACTTTGGATAAATAATCATTTAACCATATTACTTGCCTGCTGTTTGTCCTGCTTTGATCCACGTCTCGATTTAGTTTAGACGAAACATTGCAGAATTTCTTACAGCACAATGCTCCTCACTTTCTCCAGCTTTCTCCTGCCCTTCAATTTTGCTAAGAACTAGCTCAAGTATAAACATTTATGAAAGGAGCTACATACATCCTTGTGAAATAGAAATATTGAACTGTTTTGGACTGCTTTTAAGGGAAGAAGAAACCGAGCATATTTTATAATTAATTATAATATAGATATTAATTACTGGGTGAACACTTTGTGCTGTACAACTCAACCACGCATTGTTGGAGAAGCCCTTCATTTCATCACTCGATCAACTTCAATCATGAGACTCATAATTGATAATGCCTTATTCCATATGTGCCATGTCATGCCAACTTAATGGATTCTCTTCCGAATAATGACGCTTAACAGGCGATACAACACAGAATAACCTATGCGCGTCTACCCAATCAGGATAAGGTTTCCTTGCAGGAAGTTATAATGCGCTTATACAAGTCTGATCCTAGTTCTGAGTTTGGTTCTGGATTGTAATTGATGGATACTTGACATGCGGTGAAAGCAAATAACAAACATGAATCAGAGAAAATAGATAAACCCATTACGAACAAAGACGAGCGGAAATTGAGAGAGGGAAATGAATACTTTTTCTGCCACGGAAGAGAAAAAATAATATGACATCTTGGAATAATAATAGCACAAATACTTGATGGATGGATTGTTGTTGTTGTCGTGGCTGTCGTCATTTCCAGGATGAAACCATTGACCCTCTGGCAGTTCTGCAAACATGTTGTTGGTTTAGTGAAAACCAATGTTTGACTTTTAGATCACGACTTCATGCTTGTTCAACGTGGATTGGTCGAACATTTTGTTGGTCTGTAAAAATAGTGGGGTTTGGTATGAAATAAATGACCTAGATTGGATTTCGCAGATAAGGGCATAGATTGGGGCTCGTCAGAATGGTTAAATAAGTTGACTATTCTGCTGTGCCCTTTGTTGTCGTGTGAAAGAAGGAAGTTTGTTTAGCGGAGGTGTCGTGCATGCATATATCCTCGTGAGCAGAGTCGTGCTTTGTTGTCGTGGTGGTGGTGGTTTGGGTGAAAGTCGGAGCCAATTGATTTGGATTGGCCACAAGAGGAGGAGGAAGTGTGAAAGGGTAGAATGCATGTGTGTGGCATGGCCT